AGGCGGGAGTCCTAGTGGATGCCAAGCGGCCGCTGCCGCAGTCCTGCCAGCCGGCGTGGGGCGGCGGAGCGGTGAAAAGTTGGGAGACCCCTGAAGACCAGCGAGATTCGAGACCAGAGACCCGCCTTGGAGACCTGGGGGCTCGGAGTTTGAAGAAATTTTCTTGCGCCCTCGGAGAGCGCGCGCGGGGCTGCCCCATGGCCGGCATTCCGGGCCGCGATCCTATGGGGGTCTCCGGGATTTGTTACCTTCTTGGTTCCCTGCTCCTCGGACTGCTCTCCCCAGGGGCTGTCGCCTTCAATCTGGATGTGATGGGCGCCCTGAGAAAGGAGGGCGAGCCAGGGAGCCTCTTCGGCTTCTCTGTGGCTCTGCATCGGCAGTTACAGCCCCGACCCCAGAGCTGGTGAGTCACCGCGCCCGTCCAGAGTCCGCGTGCCCGAGCCACAGATTTCCCACCCCCACCTCATCTCCCAGTCTTCCAACCTCACTAAGACTCGGCTGCTCACAGATATCTCGTACCCTATAGCTTCGCCTCATCCGTCTCGGGTCTGGAGGCATACCCTTGGCCCCGAGACCCGGGCTCTTGCTTTGGGGGTGAGTTGGAGAGCAGGATTCTTGTCTTGGCAGAGACTATCTTCTTTTGCCCCCCGCCTCTTGCATCCTTGCTTCAGGCCCTTCTTCAGAGGGCTAAATTCCCTGAAGGACAGGGACTGAACATTTTGTCTCTCAGGGAAGGAAGAGAAGAAGAGGAGAAACTGAAGGTGCCATGGGAGGAATGGGAGGTAGACTCCAGAAATAACTTCCTGCCAGTGCATTGCCATAGGATGGAATGAGGGCAGCAGGGCAGTTGGGAGGCAAGGAGAGACCTGCCACTTCTGTGGCTCAAGACCATGGGAAGGCTGGGCGAGGACCTGGGAGGGTCTGGCAACCTGAACACGGTGATTTAATGATAGAGAGAGGCAGAAAATAGAGTCCATAAAAGATGTAGCAGTAGCAGCAAGAGAGAGAGAGATCCAGGAAGGATGCTGGCTATGCTGTTCCCCTTCCTCCTGCTCAGGAAATTTCCAGCTCCAGGAATCTCAGCAATAGGGGAAAGCAAAGAGGAGTGAGGAGCAGAGGACAATTCTAATAATTTTCTAATCAGTTCAGGACCCATGGAAGAAGGACACACTTGTGTGTGAGGCCTGTGACTCTCATGCTTCCTGTACTATTGGCTCCAGCTACATGTACAATTTTAAAAAGGCAATATGGGGAGGAAAGCTTCCTGCCAGGGGGCTTTTCTTTTCTAGGCCAGTGCCTAAGCCACACTAAGTGTCCATTACTGGGATCGATGCTGTCCACAGAGACTGTCTTCTCCCTGCTACTACTGGCCTGGGGGCAGAGGGTAGTGACAAGAACTCATTTCTCTTTTCCCGCTTAGGGAGGAGGGGCAAGCTCAGATCTTTCTTCTTCCATTAACCCTGTCATCAGGGAGGAAGGTCAGTGGTCCCCCAAATTTTGGGAGAGATAGAAAGCAACTAACTTCATCTCTTCTTCAGCCTTCTGTCCACTTCCTCCCTCATCTGTCTCACACACTCTCCCCTCCCCCCATCTGCCAGAGTTCCAGGACTGGAGGCCTTTTTAGGACATGCTGAACTCTCTGAGCTATTTCCAGGCAAATTCTAGGTTATTTTTAATAGCTTGGTCTCTTGTCATTTCCCCCTCATCTCTGAAGGTGGCCCCTAATTCTGTCTCCTAGAGTCAAGCTAGGGGCATTCCGAGAGGGACCTGACTGCCAAACCCAGCTTTTGCTCCTGCAGGGGGCGTTCTGCTGCCTGGTGGCACATGGGAGACCTGGTACCTTGCTCATCCCTAGCTTTTGATTTCTAGATTTCCTCCCCCAGCACGTAAAACGCTTAGAACAGCACAAGGCACATAGCTAGTGCAGTGAAAATATTAGTGCTATTATTCCTGTACTGTTATCCACAGAGCTAAAGAATAGTTTTAGTGCCTTACAGTGAGCCAGGATCCAAATGCTTGCTTGGCCAGAGCACACCCAGGGTGAGCACCCTCAGAGGGCCACCCAGAATGAGAGAATCAGAGAGGGCTGGATGTGGTTTGGAGCCTGGAGCATGTGGAGAACTGAGAGGTGCAGTAGTCATGGGCTTCTCCACCTCTTCTTATCCCAGCTCCCAGGGAGTCCCTCTGCCCCCAAATGCCGACATGTTTTTGCTTTTCTCTCTTTGCAGTGGCTGCAGCTGTGGCTACTGTTTTGTCCAGAGGCCTGGGGTGGCTGGGGATCATGGGATAAAGCCAGGAGTATGTGGCTGGGTCAGAGGTGGAGGGACCAGAGAGGCTGTGTGTGGGAACTCTTGTTACGGGAGGAATGAACTGGTCTGTTCTTCACCAGGGGTGGGGCTGGGCATATCCTTGCACTCAGCTTCTTTCCTCCATATGGACTCCTCCCCTCCTCCCTCCTCCTTCCTCTTGACCTCCTGAGATGTAAGCATTGAACACTGACTGTTAGCTTCTCCTGGTGCTCAGCTATGCAGTGACCAGCTGAGGCACTGGCTGTCTCTTTGAGTCCACATGAAGTGTGAGTTCAGCCTTCTATGGGGCGATCACAAAATGAATAAGATAGCTCAGTCCTCCAAGAGATGGCCATCTCTGTGTTTGAGATGTGTGAGGGATGCTGTCGATCTGTCTGAAGGTTGGTGGCGCCACCTGGTTTCATTTTCTGCCTGGGGTACCTTCCTCTCCCCTTCCTCCTCTTACCTCTCTGGAGAGGTCTCTGTGTTCTGCAGATGGCCTGTCAGCAGGATGTGACGGAAAAGGCATGGTTATTGGAGTTAGATGCGCATTTGAATTCCAGCATACTACTTAACGGTCTCTGAGTGAGTGGCCTCATCTGAAAGACAAGAAAATAAGCCTTGAACGGGATTGTTATGAAGATTAAATGAGATAATGTACTTAACTTGCCTAGCCCTGGCACCTAGGTAGAGAGCGATAAACGTTAGTTCCTCTTGTCCCTGGCATTTAGCCTAGGGCCTGACCCATAGTAGGTGCTGAGTAGATATTATTTCCTTGTCTCACCAGTGCCTGACACAGGGCTTGGCAGATGGTAGGTTCTCAATAAATAGTTGTTAATGAATGTCGAATGCATGCAATGCTCTCTTCCCTACCATTCCCCCTCCACCTTCTCTCACTTGACACTGGCCTTGACACAGGATGACAGCTGCTAAAAGAGGAGAAGTGGGAAGGGAGAGTAGCTCTGTGCCCTCCCCTCCCCTTGCACCATCAGAGATGGCACAGTGCCCCACAGATGCCTGACTGCAATATTGCCCCACACAGCTTTGGGCCTTCCCACTCGGGAAGGGAGATGGAGGAAAACAGAGTGAGAGAGAGGCCTCAAATTATTCCCTGCTGCCACTTTTGAGTCTTTCTTTCTCTAAAGACAGGATCCTTGTAGCCAGCTGGGTGCCAGTCACCTCATCTCACCCTCTCCTTTACTCTTGGCCTGGGGGTCAGACCCAAGGGACCCAGGCAGCCTCCATTCCCAGCACAATCCTCTCCTGGGGAAGAAGCCTTGGCTGTGATTGTGGAAAATTGTCCTGCCAAGAAAGTTGTAGCTGGGAAAGTGTATGACGGGGAGGTAGAGAAGACTGG